CAATGTAAACCTTGCTGTTCACACTTTCTAGGATGCAGCAACTTAGTCTCCATCTCAGACATGCAAAATAGCACCTAGTTTCTTGCATAGAAATCCTGACAATTCAACATCTTCATTTGCGTTAAAAAAAATTTAACAATTATTATTATAATCATCTACCATGTTATTGTTTAACTGCTGGATTGTACAATGCAATTCACACCATGCAGGTACTGGACACTAGTGCACACATGAAACAAGACATAGTATAGTAAGCAGGGGCATCGCTAAGGCATCAACATTGGGGGGGGGTGTCGTCATGTTTTGATCAATATTTAATAAAATTTTGACCAAGTCGTAAACCCGGAAATGTTGTCGACAGGGGGTAAAAAAATTTTCCAGACTAATATAAGCATATTTATAAATTTTTCGACCAAAATAAGCAAGGCTTGCCAATATTTAACCACAATTTACCAACTTTGACCTTAAATTTTAAGCAAATATCAGTTCCATTTTGACAAACTTTGAGCAAATACCAGTTCCATGGGGGGGGGGGTTCCCCACACACACACACACCACGGTAGCGACGTCCCTGATAGTGAATAAAGTAAGTGAACCCAGCTAATTTTAGATTTCAGACAGTGGCGTTGCTTCACTGATTGGCATACTCGGCCAATCTGACAACCAAACACCAGACCAAGGCTTTTTCACTCAAATCAATCTGGCTCTTGCCTTGGTTTCAATTAATAATGGGTCCACAATTATCAAGCTGAAATATATTTTATCTTGTTACATTTCTACATATCATATGTAGGGTAATTTTGTCCTGCTTCTAACAACCATGAACAGACAGATTGAACTAACTGTACATGATAATTGTACTATTTTAAATAATTATGCCTGCCAGACATTAAATTATTTAAAACACAAAACAACTATAATTCATCCAAAAAAATATTATATGAAATTAAATGCATTTCATTGTGATGTTAACACAAAGTCTATCTTTATAGTGCTTAAAAGATTACAACAAGATTTCTATCTACAGCTTATACAAAAATATACGTCAACCTTGATGTTTTCCATTTACAGATATACAAAAATATATGTCAACTGACAACATGTAAATTATTTGATGACAATTTTAATTTCCGGGTTAAGATTCTTTCAATTGTCCACAAAAGCTGTATTCTTAATCGTTTAGCCGCCTTTAGCGAGCGTATTAATATAAATTCACTAATTTTCATAATTCTTCACTCCATGCAATCCGCCATCTTGGATGACAAATCCTCCCCCACGTGCATACCCTAGAGACGAAATCGCTGCGCAAGCAAGATGCGCAGAACGGCTCAACCATGTCGGGTTTTAGCCAATCTCGTTCCCCGAGCATGCCCGTTCGCAGGTTAAGGGTGGGCATAGCTCTGGAGAAATCGAATTGTTCACGTTGAATTTCCAACGTGAGTTCTACGCATGCTCGGCAATGTTGCAAAATATAAAGTATTTAGAATTTCGCGTCGAAAATGTGATACATTTTACACTGAAATCGAATTGAAAACAACTAAAAATTCTGGGGGAAATATGTACGAAAGCTTCGGTTGGATAGGAATACAGCTACCTGAAAAATACAAGGAGAACTTCGACGTTTCGAGCGAAGGCGCTTCGATCTGTACTGTTAATAGTGTTTGTTTACATCGTACTTGACCTTTGCTGATAAATATAATCTCCTCAATAATAAGTATTATATATTTTTATGCTTTAAAATTTACATGTAACTCTCCTGTCAGAATTTATGGTATACGAAGTGTTGGGTATGACAGTATATAAAAGGTCAAGTACGATGTATACAAACACTATAAACAGTACAAGTCGCTTCGCCTTCGCTCGAAACGTCGAAGTTCTCCTTGTATTTTTCAGGTAGTTGTATCCCTATCAATCCGAAGCTTTCGTACATATTCCCTCCAGAATTTCTAGTTGTTTTCAATCGATTTCAGTGTAAAAAGTATCACATTTTCAACGAGAAATTCCAAATACTTTGTTTATATAGAACTCACGTTGGAAATCCAACGTACTATCTGCCGTTAGCCAATCACAGGCCTGAATCAATTCGATTTCTCCAGAGCTATGCCCACCCTTAACCTGCGAGCGGGCATGCTCGGGGAACGAGATTGGGTTTTGGCAGGCATCTCACCGACTTTCTGAAGTACGTAACTACGAGATGCCTGCGGAGGAGGCTAGGGTTTTCCCTTATAAAATTTAAAGGTGATATACAATGAATTTAATTACCCGCCGACGTTTGCCCAACTTAATCTCCAGTTGCCTCCTGTTTCTTTCCATAACTTTTTGGCTATATTCTAGATCTAAACCAGTAGTAGATTCTGAGATCCCCTCATCAACGCCGCGGACTTTCAATATCTCGTCGGAACTTTCATCAATATCAAACAGATTAAGCTATATTTGGATAACAACGCGTGATAATATTTTAAGGAAGTGTTCATTGTCCAGCAACTACCGTTATGGCCTTCTATTCCAAATCAATAACAACACGCACCTCCTCCTGTGGATCTTATTATCTGGTGACATTGCTACCAACCCAGGTCCTGGTAATGATCATATCCTTCGGTGTCTTTCCTTCAATGCCCAGAGTATTCGAAGTAGCACAAAATTACCTGACGGGACTTTTATTGATAACATGAAGTCTTTCCAAGATTTGGTTTACGCAGATAATCTTGATTTGATTCTCGTAACTGAAACATGGCTTAACAGCAACTTCTCGAGCATTGAATTACTTTTAAAAGGTTATAACATAATAAGAAACGATCGAATAGCTGACAAACGCGGTGGCGGGGTGCTTATAGCTCTACGTGAAAATATTACATACAAAATAGACTAACCGCAAGTAAAAATAATCCAAACTGGTCAGATCGTTTAGAAATTATTGCTCTTGAGTTAGAAATGATGAACACCAAAAAATCTCTTGTTTCCGTTTGTTATCGACCACCGAATTGTAACTTAAATGAATGGCTTGAATTATTCAAAGCATTTCTGAATGATACTTCCCACTACGATAAAGTTCTTATCACTGGTGACTTTAATTTTCCAGACTTAACTTGGAATTCCTCACTTCTACCGAATATATCAGAAAGGACCCCTTCGGTTGGTTCATCAGAGTTTAGAGAATTTACATTCGACTTTTTTTTGCACCAAGTGAATATGTATCCCACAAGACTAAACAATATCTTAGACCTTATCCTAACAAACACTTCAGAAAACATTGGTAGTTTATCATGCGTTTCAGCAAAATCTTTGAACCTTTCAAGTGACCATCGTCTGATGTTCTTCGATTTTATGCTTCATTTAAAAATGCCAGGGCATGACAAGAGAACTGTATTCAATTTCAAACTTGCTGATTGGGACGGTCTACGAAATGCACTAGTCAATCACACTACTTTTCCTTCTAACCAGTCAACTGACGTCAACACCGATTGGGAGCGATGGAAAGGTCTCTTTCTCAGAGTTGCTACTGAATATATTCCATTAAAATCGTTCAAAAGGAGCAACTCACCTCCCTGGATTGACGGTGAAGTTAAACGTATTCTCTCGAAGAAAGATAAGTGCAGAAAACGGGCTAAACGCGACGCATCTCCTAGACTTTGGGAAAAGTTCCGCGAACTTCGAAGATCAGCCAAAACGTTAATACAAGCTAAACGTACGGAGTATTTTCAAAAACTTCCATCTCTGTTAAAGTCCAGTAGCAAAAAGTTCTGGTCACTATTTAAATCCACCTCAAATCACTCCAACATCCCTGCTAAAATGTCATGGTCCATTCAAGATTCAACGTCTTCGACTGCTGACAACCCAGTTGATATTGCTGATATGCTAAATCGCTACTTCCACTCGGTGTTTCAAACTCCCGACCATACCCACAGCCAACTCTCCTCTGTTAATTTTGAAGATGACATGACCGATCTAACCACCATATCAGATCTTACTCTAACCGAAGGAGAAGTTCGTTATGTACTTCGAAATCTTGACGAAGAGAAAGCAACTGGTCCTGACAAAATCCCAGCAGTATTATTAAAAAACTGCGCGGCTAGTATAGCTCCGTCATTATGTGAACTTTTCAACAAAAGTTTATCGTCTGGTCAACTTCCGTCAGAATGGAAGTTGTCTAATGTTTGTCCAATCCCAAAGAAAAGTCCACTTCATGAAGTTTCCAATTATAGACCAATTTCACTTCTGTCGTTAGTCTCGAAGGTATTTGAACGTTGCATATACAATAGACTTATAGATCATATCTCCAGCAAACTGAATGAGTTACAGTATGGTTTTCAAAGAGGCAAGTCTACCACTTCCCAGCTTTTACATGTTCTTCACAACATTCATGAAACGCTTGAAAAAAGATGCCAAGTTGACACGATTTACCTCGACTTTGCGAAAGCATTTGACAAAGTAAGTCATGACCTTTTACTTGTGAAACTCCATAACTTTGGCATCAAAGGTAATCTTCTTCGTTGGTTCAAAGATTATCTTTCTGGGCGTTTTCAAAGAGTCACTGTACATGGTGTTACATCTCAGCCGCTCCCAGTACTATCCGGCGTTCCCCAAGGATCAATTCTTGGACCAATCCTCTTTCTTATCTACGTAAACGATCTTCCCGATAGCGTCTCCCAAGATACTGCCGTGTCAATGTTTGCTGATGATACTAAATGTCATCGCGCTGTTCGTAACCCCCAAGACAGAGTAATCCTACAGTCAGATCTTAACAATATTACGAACTGGTGTCAAGACTGGAGGATGGATTTAAATAAATCCAAGTGCGGAGTTCTTCAATTTACTCGTTGTCTCCAACCTACTATCAACCAGTACACATTAGCTGACATCCCAGTCAAACCTTTAACCTGTGTAAAAGATCTTGGCGTAAGTATCACCAAAGATATGAAGTGGAACCAGCACATGCAGGACTTACCCTCAAAA